TTCCACATAACTTTCTATTAATGTGCTTTGATACAGCACTTTGGGAACATCCAACTTCTTTTGCAATGACCTTTTGAGGCTTTCCCTCCTTATGGAGAGTGTCAATGATGGTTTTCTGCACAACTGTCAGGTCAGCAGTCTTTCCCATGATTTTGATTCCTACTGAACCAGACTGAGAGACCATTTAAAGGCTCAGGAACCCTTTGCAGGTGTTATGGCTTAATTAGCTGATTAGAGTGGGACACTTTGAGCCGAGAATATTGCACCTTTTCACAATATTCTCATTTTCTGAGATTGTGGATTTGGGGTTTTCATGAGCTGTAAGCCATAATCATCACAACTATGACAAATCACGGCTTAAACTATCTTGCTTTGCATGTAATGAGTCTATCTCATATATTAGTTTCACCTTTTAAGTTGCATTACTGAAATAAATGAACTTTTGCACAATATTCAAATTTTTCGAGTTTCACCTGTATAGCAACCTCAAAAAAAGGACTCCTCGGTTCCGGATAAAATAATGCTACATTGGAAAATTTGATTGCACTGATAAATGTTATACTTTTTTTTGTTACTGTTTTTGTCTTTTTAAACACTTGGGGTATTTCAGATTGTATTAATATGGCAATCTATTAATTTTACATTAATAGCCATTATAGACTAAGAAAAGGCCACTGAGTATTGCTGCAGATGATGTGACCTTTGAAGCTAAAAGGTGACAGAAGAACATTATTAAAATGATTATATATTATCAAAGTTGATGTGTGATGACAGAAATACAGAGCTGCCATTGCTGAGTAGCTTTTAAAGGTCTATGCTGGTCCCGACCTCACTGTGTAGAGCAGCTATTCTTAACCAGGGATCTGTAGAATCCTAGGGTTCCTCCAGAAGTAGATAGGGGTTCCTTGAGATCCTTGGTGAGTGTACAGCTCAAGGTCCAACACCAACTGGCAGAGTCAACAGCATGTGGGCACATTGAAATAGTTAGTTAGGTGCTGTCCAGGCCAGGAGGGTAGGAGTTAATGCCTTTCCTGATTCTTTGGGTTTTTTTGGTGGGTTCTTCTCTTGGCCACTATTCCTGTGAAATGTAAATATAGGACAGTGGTCTAGTATGTGGAGAACCCAACCGGAAAGGTAGATGGGGAGGGATTGTGGATTGTTCCCGGTGAGGAGCCCTAGAGGAAAGGTCCCTAGGAGGGAGAGAGTCAAGAGGACCAGGGCTTGCTTCAGGGCCAGTGTCCTTAAGGGAATGAGACAGAGAAAAATACCTGTGAGGAGCTGAAGGATGTCACTCATCACTGCCTGGATGTAAAGTGATCTGAACCTGGGGTTCTCCCTGAAGACATCAGCACTGGAACATGCCTTCGAAGGACTTGCATCTACATGAGAGTGCCTGTGAAGGACTATAATTGCTAGACTACACCTTTACAGGTACGCCTGGGCAGCATTCAAGCCTGTAGTTAGGACTAGGGACTTAGGAAAAGGGATCGCTCTTTTGTTGGACTTTGTACCACTTTGCTCTTTATTTAGTAAAGTATTGAAACATTGCCTTTTGCCTGGTCAGAAGATACTCAAAGGGCTGTAATGCAAGTGACCAGCACAACTTTGCATTTAGTCTATAGCTTGGGTCACTAGCACATGGGGTATGAAGAGTCAGCAAGTTGGGAGTCATCCTAGTGCAAGTATTACTTATGTTGCCATGAGCAAAGAAGGTACAGTCAGCAAGCAGTCTGCCATAAACGTGTACCAGTTACAGGTGGAATTGCCTCTAACTGCAACAGAGATGTTTTCGGCATTCCCTGCGCCGCATTCTGTCTCCCATAGCAACTAAAACAGTACTGCACTGCAGAGGGCCCCATCCTGTACAGAGGTACGGAAGTTCAAGTGTTAAAGTCAAGTGCACTTTGGAGCCCATGCTATGAGCACGGTGAGGTTCCATGCTGCTATCGGGACCAGTAGTGGGAAAAGCTGGACAGGTGGCTGTGGTCAGTGTTTGACACAGCTCGCCAGATTGCAAACTACAGTGGGAAGATGTACTGTACATTTACAAGGGGATCCGAGAGTTAGGTGAAGAACAGTTGTGCAAGTGTACACGGTGTATCAGTCATCTCTAAAGTGAGAGGCCTTGTCCCAGGGCAGTAATGAAATGGCACTAAAGCAAATGTACCCCATGTGTAGGAGAGTGCCCTTGTCTTAGGTGCCTAGCATAGCCCAGAAGAACCCATCCAGGGGGTTGTCCTCTTATGTGACCCAGACTTGGTGCCCAATGAGTTAATTGGGAAACAAGAAGGAAGGTCCACTATCACCCACCTACCTCCTCTTCCAAGCATGACACCAATTAACTTTTTAGCTTTCTGTAAGGTTGGCATTCTGACCACCACTGTAAGAGTTTAATTCTTGCTACTGACCACCGATGTTAGAGACATTTTTCGCGTTGATGCCTGATCAATTTTTTTTTTAGTAATAGTTCTTTGAGACCTGAAAAGTTTTTTGGGGTTCCTCTCAGTTAAAAAAACAGTTAAGAAAGGTGGGTGTAGTGAGTTATTTACTTGGAACAAGATGCAGAATGGGAGATGATACTTTTCAGACCTCCGTATCTACATACTTACAAGTCAGTGATTCACTTGGTGGTGAAGATGAGGATCAGGGTGGCAGCACTCAAGCCTGCACTTTTGAAACTAAATCATCCATGGAAGCCGAGTCCTGAGTAAAGGTTTGTTAGTTTGGGAGCTTTATTTTTTCTGAGCTTTCTGCAATAACTGGAAGATTTTGCCAGTTTGGTGATTGATATGAAAGTTTTATCATTTTTTTCTCACAAATAGAGCTTTCTTTTGGTGGTAATTAATCGCCGCTGGGCACTTTTACTTTTTGCGCTATAAACAAAAAAAGTGCAAAAAATTTGAAAAAAAAAAAGTTTTTGTTTCTATTATAACATTTTTCAAACAGGTAATTTTTCCTTCACTGATGTGCGTTGATGAGGCACACTGATGGGCACTAATAGGCGGCACTGATGGGCACTGATAGGCAGCACTGATGGGAACTGATAGGCAGCACTGACAGGCAGCACTAATGAGGTGGCACGGATAGGCAGCACTGATGAGGTGTCATGGATAGGCGGCATTGATAGGTGGCATTGATAGACAGCACTGATAGGTGGCACTGACTGGCATCACTGCTGGCCACTGACTGGGGGCACTGCTAGGCATTGACTAGCACAACTGCTGGGCATTGACTGGCACAACCACTGGGCACTGACTGGCAGCACTGCTGGGCTGCACTGATGGGCACTGGTGGGTGGCACTAGCGGGCACAGGTGTGTGGCACTGGTGAGCACATGTGGGTGGGCACAGGTGTGTGGCACTGGTGAGAACATGTGGGTGGGCACAGGTGGGTGGCACTGCTGGGCACAGGTAGGTGGCACTTCTGAGCACAGGTGTGTGGCACTGCTGGGTGGCACTGCTGGGTGCACTGCTGGGCACAGGAGGGTGCACTGCTGGGCACAGGTGGGCGCACTGCTAGGCACAGGTGGGCAGAACTGGTGGGGTGGCACTGCTGGGCACCGATCATCAGGGCACTAATCATCAGTGCCCTGATGATCGGTGTTGATCCCTGCTCTGAAAGTGCAGCCGAGATCTGGCAATTGCATTTCCCGGTGATCAGTGTGTCATTGGACACAGCTGATCACGTGGTAAAAGGCCTCTGTGATTGGCCTTTTACCACATCACGTGATCAGCTGTGTCCGTATAACACAACGATCACGGAGATCGTCAGGTGCGCGCCCGAGAGCGCGTTCTGGGAGGACGTCATATGACGCCCTTCCAGAACTGGCCGGCCGCAGTGTAGCCGTCATTCGGCTATCTGCGGTCAGCAGGTGGTTAAAGTATATGTATGTAAACCCTGACCTTTTAAAACAACCCGTTCAGTTTAAAATAGAAATGAAAGGCAAAATATGTGTGTATAGACATTAAAAAATATACATACCTTTGTTCCCCTGTTTTATAAGTGATCATGTATCCTCTAAGCTTCTTATGGAGCTAAGAACAGAGAGCTAGGGGAAGAGAAACACCAGTACACTAAACTTCTCAGTGAATGGCTGTGCGGGGGGGGGGGGGAGTCAGCAGAAGTCATATCACTGGAGGGAAGCACACTGGGAGACACTTACCAAAATTGGTGTACTCAAAATCTGGTGCAGCTGTGCATTGTAGTCAATCAGCTTCTAACGTCAGCTTGTTCGATTAGGTTTTTGCAATAAAACCTGGAAGTTGATTGCTTTCTATGCAGAGCTGCACCAGATTTTGCACATTAGTAAATAACCTCCACTCAGTTCCCAGCAGAGCTAGAGAACCGCACAATTGTCAGTTAAAGTAGCGCAGCACCGTAACGCAAAAACTGGCTTTGTCAGGAAGGGGGGTAAATCCTCAGGAGGGCAAGTGGTAATTATCCTTTAAATATTGCCAAAAAAGGCCTCTGGTTATTTTGGCTAAAATAATACCACGTGCATTGCACTTAACACTAATTAAAACATTTAAGTTGCCATGCTTTGACATGTATTCTTTTCAATGCATTGATGTACTGTATGTTTTATTTCCGGAACAGAAGCCAAAATACTTTTTTTTTGTTACCCTTCACGCATCCTGTAACACACAGGAAAGGATTGTAGTATGTTGCAGTGCACTGTGCTTCATTTAACCACTTGCCCTCCAGAGGATTTACCCCCTTCCTGACCAGGCTATTTTTTGTGTTACGGCGATGTGTTACTTTAGCTGACAATTGCGCAGTCATACAATACTGTACCCAAATAAAATGTACATTCTTTTTTCCCACAAATAGAGCTTTCTTTTGGTGGTAATTGATTGCCTGTGTGTTTTAAATTTTTTGTGCTATAAACAAAAAAAGACTGACAATTTTGAGAAAAAAACACTATTTTTGACTTTTTGCTATTAAACATGTCCAGTAAAAAAATTAAAAAAATCAAATTTCATCATCAATTTAGGCCAAAATGTATTCTGCTACATGATGTCTTTGCTAAAAAAATACGTGTAAATGAATTGGTTTACGTGAAAGTTGTATTGTTTACAAATGGTGGTATATATACAATGGTGGGGTGTGTATATTATATATATAAATATATATATATATATATAATTTTTTTTTCTAGTAATGGTGGTGATCAGCGACTTATAGCATGACTGGGGGTCTGCGGCGGGCATTCTGACACTGGGGGGAATTGACTTGGTGTCACTGACATCCCCAGTGACACCAATGCAGTGATCAGTGCTAATAAAAAGCACTGACACTACTAATGGCACTGGGCAGGAAGGGGTTAACATGTGGAGAGATCAAAGCATTAGCTGTGTGCTGTTTCACTGTGTGCTGTGTGTGTGGTTTATGCAGGCCATAGACGGTTCGTTTATCGGCCGACGAAAAATCGGTTGTTGCTGCCATGGATGCTGCTGCCACCAATGCTCACGAAAGAATGGGACAAGAAACCAGTTTGGCAGAGACAGAGGAGCACACCATACAATGTGACAGCAATACGTACAGGGATCGTATAGGGATCTGCACAGATCTACACAGAACAAAAATATAGAACCTTTGTAATATTACACACACTGGGGGAGGTTCAAACTGGAGCATGCAAAATCTGCTGCTGCACCTCTGCCCAGAAACCAATCAGCTTTGTAGTAAAGCTCCCTCACAGTATACATATATATGTATATACTGTCAGGGACATTAAATCGTAAGCTCTTCTGGTGCAGAGTCATCTATACCATAATAATCATCTCGATCTATCATTATTCGGCACGTGATGGACCAAATACATTATGTTTTTATTTGGATACAAATATATAATATATTGTCCTCGATAGGTATAGCAGCGCAGGAGGATTTACCACAAAAAATGGATACATTTTGTTACAGCCGCAAGACTTTTTATGAAAACACTTCGCAAAACACAATGTTCTATTATCTAATCCCAACGGTAGGACAGACAGTCATGGGTGTTAATATATGGATTCATTTTCATATAAAATATAATAGCTAGGACTGGACTTCCAGTTCGTAGGAAGGATTCCAGGGGAAAATAAAAATTATACATGTGTGTGTGTGAGCATTAACTAGGGACTATCATTTCATTTCTAGAACTGAGGAAAATATCTATATAATAGCTGGGATGGGAATGACAGTTTTTTCCAGGGAATAATGTAGCTAGGGCAACTACCTGATCACAAAAAAAAAAAATTCTGCAAAAAAATATTTATCAGTGCCTTTTTAAGAACCATAGGCCCTACATAATTAGGTTGTAAACCTGAATTCACATCAAGGAATACTTTTAAAGTGGAACTGAACTCTATCTCAGTAGCAGAAAACAAAAAAGATATTTATTTCCAAATTCACCCATCCATCCATGTCTCTATGCTTTAAATCACTTTGAAAACCATCTCATGACATTTCTAGTGGTGGCCATCTTGAATAAGGGCAGATAATCATGTAGCATTTACTTCCTGGAATCCACCTGCCCTTAGCTCAGACATGCAGGCCAGAGGGTGTGCTTGGCTGAGAAATCCCCTCCTCCAGATGAAGACCATGGGATGTGTGATAAATTGTAATCTCCCAGGATCAGGCCCTCCTATCCCTCTTGTATTGAACTATATTGTTGCTGTACTGTCTCCCGTTATATTGTGAAGCGCTGAGCAAACTGTTGGCGCTATATAAATCCTGTATAATAATAATATCTTTTTGGCCTAGACCAGAAACCTGGAAGCAACCGAAGAAATGTAAAAAACAAAAGTTTAAAACAAAAAAATATAATATGAGGTATATTTACTAAAACGGGGGTCACTCAGCATCTGGTGCAGCTGGACATGGTAGCCAATCAGCTTCTAACTTCAGCTTGTTCACTTAAGCTTTGACAATAAAACCTGATTGGTTTCTGTGCAGAGCTGAACCAGATTTGCACCATGCAGTGTTAGTAAATAACCCCCTATACCCAGCGGTGTATTTACCACAAGGCAAAGCATTTGCTTGGGGAGGCAATTTTTCAGGGGTGCGGCACCACCCCGCGGAAGAAGTGGCAGGAGGGACGGGGATATGATGAGGAGGCTGTGTGGTTGGATATCCAGCTCCAGCTTAGTTCTTGTGATCGGGTGGCAGTGGTGATGGGCGATGGGGGGGAGAGGGCAGGGGGTGATGGCGAGTTGCCGGGGGGGTTGTCGGCACCCGGGGTGGAGGCTGCGGCGAGCGGCGGAGGTTGATGGGGGGAGGGGATTGTTCGTGGTGGACGGCATCAGTGGCGGAGGGTGGTGGCAACGGGGGGGGGGCAATTCTTGTGTTGCCTAGGGCAGCACAAGAAGGTAATACACCACTGCCTATACCTTCCTATCTAGAATTAATCCTAATGCTAGCAGCATAAGGATTAAAAAAAACATTAATTTTGATTAAGAATGTTTAGTTCCGCTTTAAATAACCTAAATTCCCCCGAAATACAAAATATACATATCTGAACATTGGATTTTGAATATTTCTTCAATTAGCCCCAAAGACTACTTGTTACTGAAGTTGGGGTTCTGTCTATAGATCTTCAGTAAAGATTGCAGTTCTAATTAGTCATATTTTATAAATGAACCAGTGACCTGAGCGTTTAATTAAAAAAAAGGAAAAATATTTCTTAACACTCCTGGAGCTTTGGAAGGCAGGATATCTGATCCATTATGAGCTACAATTATTTCTACAAGATAAAGTGTAAAATAAATGAAAGCATTTGCTTGTAATTGCTTAACCCAGCAAAATTATCTAAAAGGGCATTCATTCGAACAGCTTAACAATAAAGCCATTAGAAAAGTAACACAAAATATATAATTGACCTATAATTCAGTACAAAACACGGTTATAGTAATGGTACTCATTGTACTTCTGGAACAAAGAGACATGGAGAAGACAGAGTTCTGACGTCCGGGGACAATTAATTTAATAACTCAAAATAATTTGCGGCAGTTAGACCATTTAGATGTCTTGTTAGCCTGATTCTTTCTTAATCACCCTCATAATTATAACGGTTATATTGATAATAACTATTACAATAAAAAACAGCATAATAATAAAAAAAAGTGTAGCTTTGATTATACCACTGATCCCCTTGCTCTTGCCTACAGATCGTGACCATATTTTTCTGCTTTTGCAATATTTTTTTTCATGGGTCACAAGCCCACTCCCTGTTATACAGTAGGCCTAGACCAGGGGTCTCCAAACTCTCTAAACAAAAAGCCAGTTTACTGTCCTTCAATCTTTAGGGGGGGCTGGACTGTGGCTAGCGGGAGTAGAAAACGTCCTGGTGTCAGTGGCAGTAAAATATGCCCCATGACTGGTGGCAGTGGAAGAAGGAATAGTGTCCAATCATTGGTATCAGTGGTAGGAATAGTGACCCATCATTGGTGTCAGCAGGAGGAATAGTGCCCCATCATTGGTATCAGCGGTAGGAATAGTGCCCCATCATTGGTGTCAGCGGGAGGAATAGTGCCCCTTCATTGGTGTCAGTGGGAGGAATAGTGCCCCATCATTGGTGTCAGCGTGAGGAATAGTGCCCCATCATTGGTGTCAGTGGGAGGAATAGTGCCCCATCATTGGTGTCAGCGGGAGGAATAGTGCCCCATCATTGGTGTCAGCGGGAGGAATAGTGCCCCATCATTGGTATCAGCGGGAGGAATAGTGCCCCATCATTGGTATCAGCGGGAGGAATAGTGCCCCATCATTGGTGTCAGTAGGAGGAATAGTGCCCCATCATTGGTGTCAGTAGGAGGAATAATGCCCCACCATTGGTGTCAGTGGTAGGAATAGTGCCCCATCATTGGTGTCAGCAGGAGGAATAGTGCCCCATCATTGGTATCAGCGGGAGGAATAGTGCCCCATCATTGGTGTCAGTAGGAGGAATAGTGCCCCATCATTGGTATCAGGGGGGGAATAGTGCCCCATCATTGGTGTCAGTAGGAGGAATAGTGCCCCATCATTGGTGTCAGCAGGAGGAATAGTGCCCCATCATTGGTATCAGCCGTAGGAATAGTGCCCCATCATTGGTGTCAGTAGGAGGAATAGTGCCCCATCATTGGTATCAGCCGTAGGAATAGTGCCCCATCATTGGTGTCAGTAGGAGGAATAGGCCCCATTGTTGGTGTCAGGAACTATGCCCCACTGTTGCTGACAGTGAGGGAATAATGCCCCAAGGATAAAATGAAGCAAAGGGCCACATCCGGCGCTCAGTCCGCAGTTTGGAGACCACTGGCCTAGACCAAGAGGTTAATTAATAAATACAGAGGGCCTCAACTGGCATCTCCAGGGCCCCACACATAATTTTCAGTATACAAAGTACTACAGAGCATTATCAGAGACTACTGATTCATAGATTGGTGATGTTACAGGTGTATTTGAAGAGCGTGTGAGGATGGGGGGACAGAGGTGCTTTTGTTTACATTTTTTATTTACTTTTTTTATTTATTTTAAAAATTATATATATAAAATATATATAATATATTAGCTTCGGGCAGTGACAGGTACTCTTTATTGAGCCATCAGGGGTCTATTAGACTCCTGATGTCTCCCCTGCCCTACAAGACAGCTGATTGAATATTTGATCAGCTGTTTCCCTGGCTATAATGGCCAGGGAAAGACAGCACTGAAACTGGAAGTGTCAAAATCATCAATGCTTCTGGCTTCATTCCTCCCAAAGGAGATGCAAGAACGGATGTTCCTCCCTCTCTTCTGTAGGCAGCTGAACCCATTGCTTACTGTGGTTCCCGACTGTATAGGAGATCTGGGAATGGTGGTGGGAGGGGGGGCCTTCCAAGCTGCTTCCCAGATCATTTTTAGGTGTCATGCATACTGGACGGTTTTTTAACTCTCCTAGAAGCCTTTCCTGCTGGCAGAAAAAATGCCTGACGCTTGTGAAGGTGTGTAACGCGTTTAGGCGCATTTAGCCATGTCAAGCATTTTGGAATTAATTAATTCCATTGACCAGAACAAATAATTTATTCTGGCCATTGCCTTTTAATTAATGCTCAAGCACTAAACGAGCCTAGCATTAATGCCCATTTAGATGCGTTTAGAAGTTCTTAGAAGCATTTAGAAGGGTCAAGCATTTTTTCTACCAAAACCCTGTGTTTCTGGATGCACTGGCCACTAAACCCCTCTAAGTTTATCTTGGCATGGACACATAGGCTAACATGTAGGGAAGTTTAGAGGAAGGAAAAATGCCACACGGCCGTAGGAGCAGCTGCAAAAACATCCAGTGTACATGAGGCCTTAGCCTCCATGTACACTGCAGCGGATATACTCACGTTTTGGAGCTTTTCTGCGTTTTTTTCAGCAGCTCCTGAACTCTCCCTAATGTTTTCCTATGTGTCCATGTACACTATGTCGTTTACAGTCCTTTACAGGCAGTTGAGTTTACAGTCGTTTTGTTGAACGCACCAAACTTGCGTTCAGGAGTAGATTTTATCAGCAATTCAAACGCCAAATGCTTGTAAATGCATGTAAATGTGTGTAAATGCGGCTAACCGCGTTTATAAGCATTTGCGTTTGGAAAATTTTTTTAACTTCCATTTCCAGATGCTGTACAGATCCTTTTTTCATCATGAAAAATGCATGCAAAGCGTTTTCCCGGTACTCGAATGGACCTGGTACACCATACTTTGAGGTTTTGCATGAAAGAAAATATGTTAGACACTGCTGCAATAATTTCTGCACAGAAATGAGCTGGAATACATCCAAACAACACAAAAAAAACAGCTAATCTCAACAAATACTGCTCTCTCTGCTTTCTGCTCTCTCTATTTCTCTCAAAATGTCTGAAATAGTTAATTTTTTACTATTTATCAGTGCATTCTGGACATTTTGGAAGGTCTCCTGAGGTTATCTTTAAAAAAACTATTGTAAACATAAATGCTCATAAACTTGGTATGCAAATGCAGCTAAACAGACTTTTAGCCTACGTTTTCCAGCAGTCAGTTTCCATTGTTCAGAAGCATCCCTTGTACATGAACAGGAAAGCCCATTGCCAGCTCTAAAAATGGTAAAAAGATTATGGCTGCAGCTACATAACCACTTGCTACCAAGGATGTTTATATACAGTTGTGTTCAAAATAATAGCAGTCAGACATCACTAACCTGATCAATCACTGTTTTTGGTAGAAATGATATTTCTACATGGCAAGTAATTTACTAGCAGGTGTAGTAGAGTAATAGAAATCCAACAGACCCAACAGTCATGACATGCATGCTGCTAATTCTGTGTAATTGAAACACTCATTGAAAGGGGCATGTTCAAAATAATAGCAGTGTGGAGTTCTATTAGTGAGGTCATTCATTCTTTGAAAATCAGGTGGCAATTATTGCCCTTATTTAAGAAAGGAAGGCAGCAAATGTTGTACATGCTGGTTACAGTGCATTTCTCTCTGAAATTCTGAGGAAAATGGGTCGTTCCAGACATTGTTCAGAAGAACAGCGTACCTTGATTAAAAAGTTAATTGGAGAGGGGAAAACATATAAAGAAGTGCAGAAAATGATAGGCTGCTCAGCTAAAACGATCGCAAATGCTTTAAAATGGCAACCAAAACCTGAAAGACGTGGAAGAAAGTGAAAAACTACCATTCAAATGGATAGAAGAATAGCCAAAATGGCAAGGACTCAGCCAACAATCAGCTCCAGGAAGATCAAAGAAGGTGTAAAGTTCCCTGTGAGTACTGTTACAATTAGAAGACGCCTATGTGAAGCCAAGCTATCTGCAAGAAGCCCCCGCAAAGTCCCACTGTTGGAAAAAAGACGTGCTGAAGAGGTTACAATTTGCCAAAGAGCACATTGACTGGCCTAAAGAGAAATGGCGCAACATTTTGTGGACTGATGAAAGTAAGATTGTTCTTTTTGGGTCTAGTGGCCGGAGACAGTTTGTCAGACGACCCCCAAACACTGAATTCAAGCCACAGTACACTGTGAAGACAGTGAAGCATGGTGGTGCAAGCATCATGATATGGGGATGTTTCTCATACTACGGTGTTGGGCCTATTTATCACATACCAGGGATCATGGATCAGTTTGAATACATCAGAATACTTGAAGAGGTCATGCTGCCTTATGCTGAAGAGGAAATGCCCTTGAAATGGGTGTTCCAACAAGACAACGACCCCAAACACACCAGTAAACGTGCAACATCTTGGTTCCAGACCAACAAGATTGACGTTATAGAGTGGCCAGCCCAATCCCCGGATCTTAATCCAATAGAAAACTGTGGGGTGACATCAAAAATGCAGTTTCTGAGGCAAAACCAAGAAATAGAGAAGAACTGTGGAATGTAGTCCAATCATCTGGGCTGGAATACCTGTTCACAGGTGCCAGAAGTTGGGTGACTCCATGCAACACAGATGTACAGCAGTTCTCAGAAACAGTGCGACTACAACCAAATATTCATTAAGTGATTCAAAGGAAAGCAAAATCTTCAAACATTTTTCAGTTTATATAGTGAATGTTTGAGTTTGTAAAAAAGAATACAAACACTGCTATTTTTTTGAACAGTCTAATATTCACTTTTCTTCAATTTTTTTAGAGGAACAACACAAATTTGATCTATTTTTCTTCATGTTTTGATTTGGAATAGAATGTGTAGCATTCCCAATGCATTTGTGTGTATGGAAATAAAAGCTATTAGAAGGATTTTGAGCTTTATTCACTTTTTTCAACACACTGCTATTATTTTGAACACAACTGTATGTATAAAAAGTTAAAGGGATTACAGTTAAAAGGATTGCAAAGGACTTTTGAAATCATATTGAAGTATATGTGAACTTGGAAAAAAAAATAATTCAGTTTAAAATAGAAGTGAAAGGTAAACCATTTGTGTATACATATAAAAATACCTATTTTCCCTTTTTTATAGTGATAACATTCCCTCTGTTCTCACCTACGTAAGAGGAATCTTCCCAGTAAATGGCTGTGCAGTGGGGATGTGTCAGCATGTCTAATCATTGGAGGAAAGCAGGCTGGGTTCTCAGCACAGCCAGAAAACTGACCACACTGGGATGGATGTGCTTTCCTGCCTAGTATAGTCAGTTTTTAATAGGAAAGCAGAAGAACAAGAAGGCAGGAACATCAGGGATTTCACACAAAGGAAGCAATACAAAGAGAGCAGGATACTTTTGCATACAAGTACATGGTACAGCAAACACATGAAATGTTTGGGTAACATATTCTTTACCACTTTAAAGCTTATATAAGGAATTAGTGATTAGAATTAGATTTACTTTCGGTCGCCATGATATTCTGCACAACATCTGTAATTTGAAATCAGGATTTCAGTAGCAGTAGCGATGGAAGTATGTGTGATAGAATAGGGTTGGAATGAGAAGCTCCTTTGGTCTCCAAAAATATGTGCTTTGATGTGTAAGAGGAACCAGGAAAACCGCTAAATACACACTGAAATACTGTACATAGCTGTTTACTGGTTTATCTGCCAAAAGGTTTGTAAAGCTGGCCACATGCTGTGCTAATTTTGTCCAGTATCCAAGAAACTGGCTGAAATTTGCTCAGTGGGTGGCCCATTGGCCACCTCTCACCTGACAACCCTCGATTTAAACACCGAAAATTGTTAGGCAAAAAGCAGCGGCTGGCAAGGCGTTTTTAAAAATACAATAGGTACAGTGGGAGATTCGACCATCCGTGCTGTGTAATGTGGAGAGGGGAATCATTTTCTTTTTTCTTTTAGCCTGTAGGCTGAAAGTTAAAAGAAAAAAAAATTTCTTGTATGGCCAGCTTAAAGTGGTTCTAATGGTTCCTATATGCATTCTATAAATTTGTAAGCAGGTTGAAACTAGTTAACTAGGTGCTGCCCCAGATGGGAGGTACAGGGTTAACTGTATTTCTCAGGTCTTGTGTTTGGCACGCTTTTTGGGTCTGACCCACTGGTCCTGTGACTATAAAAAGGGACTGTTGTCGGGAGCCCAGAGAACGGGAGCTCTGAGCTCTCTTCCGACTTCAGTGCGCTGCTGAATTTACTAACATCTGCTAATGTCTGGAAGAATGGCACGACGTAAGGGCCCACTGGAGCCTGGGGTTCACCCTGAAGACACCAGCTGCTTGACGCTACCTTCGCAGGTATACCGGGGCAGTACATAGCCTGATTAGGATTAGGGATTAAGGATTTAGGAAAAAAGGACTGTTCTTGTGTATGGGGCTTTGTCGTGTTTTCCGTACCTTTATCAAGTAAAGTGTTGTAGGATAAGTTCATTTTAACCTCTTGCCCACCACCCTTTAGTAGAAGTACTGCTACAAGGCAGCAGGGCTGCGCAAAATCACGTATATCCGTGATTTGCATTTCTGGGTAGGGGGGCGTGCGCAGCCCTATTCGAGCCGCCATTGGTAAAGATGTCAGTCACCAGGACCCGGCCGGAGATTCCCCGTCCGGACTCATTGATCGTCAGGGAAAACTGACAGGAGAGAGACCGGTGTGTAAACAATACAGGTCTTTCTCCTGTCAGCAAGGACATGCTGCTTTGTATTTCTCTGCACAGCATGTCTCCCTAGTAGCACACAGCACACAGTAAAAAACACACAGCACACAGTTAACCCTTTGATCCCCAGATGTTAACCCCCCATTAGTACAGTGTCAGTGTTTTTTATTAGCATTGATCACTGTATTAGTGTCACTGGGGATGTCAGTGGCAGTTAGTCAGTTCCCACCCAGTGTCAGAATGCCTGCCACAGTCCCACAGTCCCGCTATAAGTTGCTGATCACCGCCATTACTAGCATATAAAGAAAAAATTCCAGTGTATATATACTGCCATTTGTAAACACTATAACTTTCATGTAAACCAATTAATTTACACGTATTTGGATTTTTTTTAGCAAAGACATGGAGCAGAATACATTTTGGCCTAAATTTATGACAATTTTTTTTTTTGTTTGTTTTTTATTGGACATGTTTTATAGTAAAAAGTCAAAAATATTATTCTTTTGTTCAAAATTGTCAGTCTTTTTTTGTTTATAGAGCAAAAAATAAAAATCTCACAGGTGATCAAATACCACTGAAAGAAAGCTCTATTTGTGGGAAAAGGGATGTAAAGTGCCAGGGTTAGTGTTTGGGACAAGGTCAGGGTCAAGGGCCAGTAATTGTTTGGGTTGGGATTTTTTTAAATTTTTAAATTAGTATCAGTGTCAGTTAATGACAGTGTATTTCAGGCAGGATAAAAAAAAGCAAAATGTGCACTATTGTTTCTGAGCATACTATGGGTACAAACAACAACTATACACATATGTGGTATTGTTGCAATGGTCAGGAGCAGGAGAATTTATTTTTAGTTGTTCTTTGATGGTAAGTTATGGTAATACCAAGAAATATGCAGCTAACTTTAAAAACATTTTTTTTTTACCATTTTGAGCCAGTTTTCCTTTGATAATTAAAAAAAAATCTGGAGATATCTATTACTGTCCACCGCAAATAAAAGCCCATTTTTCCTGAAAAAAAAACAAGGTAGAATCCAAATGGATGCACAAAGTAGTGATGATATGTACGGTTTTACTAACACATGTCAAAGTTGTAAACTTGTTCTTCGGTACTTAGATTTGTTTTACCCTTAAGTGCGAAGGGGTTTAAGTCAAGTGCATGTTGGAGCCTGAACTGGTTGAACCCTGCTACTGGAGACAGCAGTGGAAAAGGTGGCTGTGGTCAGTGTTCGACATGGCCCTCCTAATTGCAAGCTGTTGTGGGAAGATGCACATTTACACAGGGCCCCAAAATTTAACTGGAGGACAGTTATTGTGCAAGTGTACATGGTGTACGTTCATCTCTAAGAGCAGAGGCCTGCCTTAAGGTTGAGTATTCCCTGATTGTGGACCCAGCCTTGTCCCAAGCCATTGGAAAAAATGACACCAAAACAAAGGTACCCCATGTGTAGGAGAGCGATCCTGTTGAAAGTGCATAGCTCTCAGAAGAATCCATGCCCCAGGGCAGTCTTCTTATGTGACCAAAACTTGGTGCCCAACAAGTTAACTGGCAAATGGAGAAAAGTAACACCAACCCTTGCCCCTCCTGAGCCTCTACACATTAAGGTAAAAAACCTTCTGTAAGCAGGTCCCCCTCAGCCCCCCTTTTACTTGCACGAGCCCCATCTCAATCCAGTTCTGTGCACGAGAGCAGAGGCTATCTTAGCTCTCTCTCTCCTCATTGGCTTGAAAACAGGCGCAGTAGCCATCATTGGCTCCTGCTGCTGTCAATCAAAGCCAGTGAGGAGAGAGGGGGGGCAGGTGTCACACGCACATGAGTGCCCTCAGGGCAAGCAGGGCATTTGTCAGGGGGCAGGAGCCCCAGCGGGGGATGAGCTGCTCTGTGTAAAACCACTGTACATAAGTATGGCATGTTTATTATTTAGCCAGGTATGACTGTACTTTGTTCTGCAAAAGAGGAATGCAACACACCAAAAGCTGTAAATGTATGAGAGGTGAAGAGCGGCCTCATATGACGTCCTCCCAGAACGAGAGAACTGCCTTGCGCCCATAATTTCCTCATAAGGCTGGCAGGAGGCGGTTACATTTTCATCTGGTGATCTGGCCAGTAAGTCTGTTGTTTTTCAACAGAACAAGTTCTCCTGCATATGTATCAGTTAAGAGTATTGAGACAAGCCATTTACCACTGACAGGGGTGCTTACAATGATCAGCTTTTACTGATACTTTTACATGTAAAACCTTTATCCCAAAAGGAAAAAAAGTGTTGCTGTAACTGCTTGTGTAACTGTAGTGTGAACTGGGGTTTGGCTCCAATTTTGTCAGTGTATCTAAATATGCTAGTGTATCTAACACTCCCCTCCCCCCCGGATTAAAAATGCTGATGTCCAAAAATGCCCCCTGTGCTCCTTCATCCAGAGTGGAGGCACTCTAATACTGTATAGAAGGTGTGTTACTGAGCAGATCACCAGGTAAAAAAAAGCTTAATAAAAAATTAGCCACCACATCTAATGCAGGCCATACTTGGGTCGAATTTCGAACAAATTTTCTTTAGAAGATCAGAAATTTTGTGCATTTTTTAATCTGATGGTACCACCATTGATTTTGAAATTCAACCAACCAAGCCTTAAATTTCACCTCATGTTGTTACAAAAATAATTTTTGTGGCCAAGAATTTTCTTTTCTTTCCAGGTCACAGCTCATTTTTTTTTTTTTGTTTATATTTCCTGCACGATTCTCCCAAAATTGATTTGAAATTCATTTGTTTTTCAAAACATACAATTTTGAGGACAAGCTTTCGGGGATGTCCCCTTCTTCAAGGTCCAAGCAGTACTAAACGATAACTGATAGTACTGCTTGGACCTTGAAGAAGGGGACACTCCCCAAAAGCTTGTCCTCAAAATTGTATGTTAGTGCAAATAAAAAAAGTATCACGGACAGTACTCAATTGTTTCTGTCGCAAATGCACTAATACGGCTACAATCACCTCAAGCATTTGTTTTTCAAAAAATTTCCAACATGCCCAATCACTCAAATTTGATGGTCACATGGAAATCGGCCATTTCTGTGACCCACTAACGGTGCGAAATTCGAACAAAAAAATTCTTAGAAAAGATTTTCTAAAGAAAATTCTTTTGGAATTCGAACTGTGTATGGTCGGCTTAAGGATTGGTTAGCTGCAATATATTACATTTTGGGTTTTGGGTTTAATTCTACTTTATTATTTAAAAAAAAAAACTTTGTTTCAATGTATTGCATTTCATATTATTTTACATGAGAGCATCCATGTTTGCTTATTATATGCTGAGTTTTTGCTTCCTTATAGTGCTATGCAATGGTTGTGCTTTACTGCTGCTTCTCACAAATGCAAGGCTATGAGCTGGATAACACATTAAAAAGCAATGCACTCCCTGTGTGGAGGATACCTTAATCACCACTGTACACCCCCCATGGACCAGAACAGTTTTTACATTTCTACTATGGACCTTTCTATTTGACAAAAACTGTGTGGTTATGTAACGTGTTACTAAACCCAGGCCCCTGCATTTAATATATCTGGTCTCCCATAGTACACAGAACATGGAAATGCAATTATTTTAGTAAATATAAATACCTTTTCTCATCGCAGTTAGAGCAGTCTCGTGCCTTCTACCAGTGCCCAGCAGAGCACTTGTTAAAACTTGAAGGAAGAGTTTTGATTCTGCTGTGACTGTCCTATGAGGCTGCATAACCCCTGACCTTCTTTCTGGACAGTGCTGATTAGCTAGGTGCTGATCACATGCACCACTTGCCCCTCCGAAAAAAAAAAACTCTCTAGCAATACAAAAAAACTGAGCATGTACAGCTTGCCCTCAAGGCTCTGTTCTATCAGCAGATGGATTGGGGACAGTAGAAGAAGAGGAAGATCACAGAACATAGGATCAAACAGCTTTTTTACACAATGCAGAGGATTTACCCCTTAGGTTCCACAGTGAGTATAACAAGCATGCTTTACTGCATATACAGACTGATTTTACTGTTTAGTAACACTTTAAGATAACCAAGTAGTATATACTGTATATTGGTGATATTCACTTGCAAAAATGATTTTATTTTTTGTGTGATCCATGGACAATAAACTCAAAAATTCCCCCTTTTTCTTCTTCGATCAATGTTGCTTTAGAAAAAAGTGTTATTGTAGATAAAAAGCATAAATTTTATTCTACATTTGGTAACATTTAAGAGAACACTACCATTATGTTTCTGGCACCGTTTTGTTTTGTAGAGTATGTAGAGTAGAATAAGGACCTGGCCAGAAAGGGATCACTTTGCAGTTGGCCAGCTTGAGCATGTATTGCAATATACTGTATGCAAACCAAAAATCTCATATTTTATGCAAAAGTTTGCTTGAAATACTGTATGTATGGGTGTATTGTGGTGTGCAGAGGGTTAAATCAGAATTTTTATTGGATTTGAGCACAGACATTTCCCAATGACACAAAAAAATAATGAACAACGCAAAAAAAAAATCTAAAAGAAGTTTAATTAGTAATGTTTAAAAAAAATAGGAATAAAAAAACCAGAAGGATGCTTCAAGACTGTCCAAAATTTTAAAGGGCCACCCATTCTAAAGTGTGAAAAACTATTCTAATAGTTTTCTATAATGCAGCAACATCCACACATGTGGGACACCCAACATTAGAGGTGATTTTTTCTTCCAAAGCAAACACCTTTGCACACTGGTACTGACTAGTAATCCAGTGTCTCTCTTCTCCCTCAGTTTTTCTCCATCACTGAGCTAATGTGACCCCAGCACTGATGGAGAGGGGCAGGGGGAGGGTCAAACTAGGATGCTGTGCAGGCAACTGACATCCTCCTTATCAACTGATGATGTGATTGGTTGTCAGGATGCTGGCAGCTAGAAGGTCGTAATGGTGCACAAAGAAAACTTGTGAATTTGTGTAACTAAAATGTAGGCATGTTCCACCCGCTGGCTTGTATACAGGTTCTGGGCAATATTTAGACATCTTGCCAAGGCACCCCTGGAGAAACCTCAGG